CATTTCATTCCCGATAATATACTTGAAAAAGCAAGGGTGTAAAGTGCAACTGCCGCGGAAGCTTCGACTTTGTTTAGTTTACTTGTGATAGCAAAATATTTCGTTACTATGATGTAAGCACCTGCCACATTTTTGGTAAACGAAAGAAAGGAAGCTGGCTGTCAAAAGTGTCGTAAAATGCCATTTACCAGGTACTATATTAAGTTTTACAGTCAACGTGGTGAGTGTAATTTTAGCGACACAATTCTGGCAACTGACTACGAAAATAGTTCGGTTCGCACTACTTCTTTTGAGTATCCCTATTTTTCATGTTAACGGAATACATAAACTTATATCCCTCACGACATTACTAATTGGTCTATTCTCCGCGTCTGAATAAACAGAATATTCTCTTAAGTTAATGGAAACTAATACAGCCTCAAGGCTTCTTTCTTATAAAAACCATTACATAACTAATTTCCTTTCATTTAGGTTGTCTAGATAATTTGAAATGAAAGCTCTGGCTTGACGATACCCAGGATGCCAGAGACTTTTCATGAGTGGTTTTATAGTGATTTTGTATATGTATGTTTTACTGAACGTTACGTATTGTAGATGGTTAGTTGAAATTATTCGTGGATTGTGTACTTCAAGTCACTTCAACAGCAACTGATAATTTCCTTCTAATTTGGCGAATCAGCTTATGTTCGACAGATTAAGAAACTTAATTCACGAAATGGAACGTTTACCTTCTAACTGCCTTGTATTTGCAAAACATGCCAAAAATTAACAATACTTTTAACAAGAAGTTACCCACTTAGTTATGGTATATCTTCACGTGCCATTCCATGTGATCACAGTTGGAGACGTTGGATATGATTGGTTTCAAAGTAGTTCGATAAAAAGAGATCAAAGTTTATCTGGAACAGCCAAATAACAAAATTGTTGTGCTCTGTACCAGAGGTTTCTTCTCCGAGACTTCGGCCACGCGGCTGACCCCCAAATATCTCGCTGCGCTCGAGAAAAAAACCCTTAAATTCTCAGGATTTTGCCAGGTTTGAAAATCTACTTTATCATATATTGAACTTGCATGAGTGATTTACGTAAAGGGACGGAGATTAATTCGAGCGCCTTTATCCCCCCCCACCCCTTTTCCCAGCGTTTCCTTCAAATGCCTGCTATGTTAGGATTTCACTACAGTCAAACTAAACGAGAGGAAATTGCAAAAGCTAAGAAAAATACTTTAAGTAAAGGTTATTATACTTTCAGTCTAATATATAAAGAATACTTCACGGAAAGTGCGGGCGCACGGTATTTCGCACGCGTTGTTGACGTATCAGGATTTCTGATACAAAAACGAGTGCGTATATACCGTACAAAGCACTTTCCATGTGGTATTGTGTTTATTATATACATACTGAGACATTCGTCATTGTGGCAGCCTTTTTAATTCTTTTGTTTGTTTCTTGTAAAGTAATGCAGTTGTAATGCGCAGCTGATCATTCTCATGTTAAGTTGCGCACAATATGTTCATAAATTATTATTAATTATTATTATAAATCTTTCTAAATACTAAAATTTGCCGCTACACACCGCGAGATGACAAAAAAAACCACGAAGTATCAGCCTATTAGTTAATAATGAGGGTTAGGATATGAGGTAATCCAAGAATTTACAAGTAATGTTAACGTTTTGTTCTGAATGCACAATTAAAAATGAATGGATTTAAGTAAAAGGCCGATTTGAATACAAGCTCCTATAAAAAGCACAACTTGCTTACGTCTCGTTCTGTTTTTCCCCTTCCGCTCTAAGTTGTTTAGCCGGCTCTCTACAATTCTCTTCATCGACAGAGGAATTCTTGGTTTTCACCGACACGCAATAAAAAAATAAACACGGCACAAGAAAATAAATTGGAAACCGTCCACTGTAAGAAGCCAAGAAAATGAAATATTATAAAAGGCTAACATATAAACAATTTGTCCAAATCTCAGGTCGTTGTGGCCCCCAGTTTCTGAGTTATTTGTCGAAACATTTCACGCACCTTTATAGAGCTTTCGGTATCGGTGACTTTGTATGGAGAGAGACGCCATATTGCCCGGTATGACCAATCGATAAAAACCGATATCGGAAAACCGTTCGATAAATCGATATCAATCGATAATTTTTAATTAATCGATATCGATTTTATCGATCAATCGATAGAAATCGATACTCACAGTCTTCCGCGTATTTAACGATATCGATTTTATCGAGTAATCGATATTAACGGAGTATCAAAAACCATACAAAATAAAATATAAAACTGCTTCTATGTGGACAGCGTTTTAATTTAATATAAAACAATGAACAGAAACATTAAGCAACCAAGGATTTATTTCATTCAGTCAACACATTAACTTCATTCTTTGTTTTTTTCTTTTGTTTCTTTGGTTCTGGAACCATGTTTTAACCTAAAAAGAAAAAAAAAAAAAAGAAACCAAATTTATATGTTTATATGTTTATTGCATGCAACCGTATCCCGGTTAATCATTTTGACTCTTATATTCCCGGTATATTCTCGCAAGGTCTCTCGATGATTTTACTTTATATCTCCAGGAAAAAGCTTACTTGGTGTTGCTCTAAGTCAAAGTTCTCGGCCAACTTTTCCATTAGCTGTGCCGTCGGACGGCATTTACAAACATGTTTTCTGAGCTTCTTAATGTTGAGTTCCTTTCAAATTTATATCAGTTATTTTTGTTTCATTACCTCTCTTCTGCTTTAGTTGCGGAGTTCATCATTTACTCCGTTTTACTTATTTATAGAATGATTTTAGCTCTGATTTGTAGTATGATTTTTGCGGCGGCGAGGGTTTTGCTGACAAAACATTTACTGGAGACAATGTCTAGCATTACAACTACGCAGCTTCGTACTTCGTAGTACATGTATTTGTAGGATGTCATTACGACATTTAGCTTGAACAGTTTCTGAGTAAATACAAAAAGCGGTTATGTTATGTTGCGTTTCCCCGTTGAATCATGCCAGGGAATCGTGTTAATATTATTTGATTATCAGTATTCATTCAATTATCGATTTGTTAAATAAATCTTTAAATTCGTCCTACTTGATTCATTGAATCGTAAGAGTGTTTTTATGGAAGATTTGATACATTTTAGAAATTCGATAAAATCGATAACATTAATTTAAAAATCGATAATTATCGATTACTCACAACGTGTCCTTTTATCGATTTTAATCGATTTCCGATACAATTTACTAATTTTTATCGATTGTTATCGAATGTTATCGATTATCGGTTTTATCGATTGCACATGCCGGGCATATTGGTGGACAGTTTGGCCGCCGGAAATCAACAAAAACATCTGGAGTTCACTTTTTCTGTAAAAGCTCTTCCTTTTCACTCGAGAGCTAGCATACGTGCGCCTAAACACATCTTTTAATACTTGAAATAGTTAAACTGCTGAAAATCAATAGGAGAGTCGACTTCTTTCAATGAGACAGCATTCCTATTTTGGTGTCACGCACGGTGAAAACTCGGAAGCTCAAATTGCTGTATTTTCGAAATGAAACATGCTTCAGCGCTGGAAACTTGTACAAAGATTTATTTTCTATTTATCTTTAACCTAGTGTAAAGAAGAATTAGTAAAACCTCGATTTTTTGACTTTGCAATCTGATGACGTCACTGTGAAAACCATCTGATACAAGAAACTATTCCACTCCAATGTCGCAGATGTTTTTCACTTGTTTACGAGAAAAAACTCTCGGAGAAAAACTTTTCTCGTTGAATGTCTGCGAAGCACTGTCACTGCAAGCTGCAAGCGCTAAAATGCGGGAATTTTGGCGCGAAACACACACCTCTGTGACTTCTGATCAGACGTTTTTTTTCACCTGTGAAAAACATCGTTCGCTCCTCTGACTGGCTAGAACTCATTTTCGTCTAAAAATTTACGACATAGCTTTTTGGTGAGTATTTCTCAGTATGTATATAATAAATGACCAATACGCCGTTCATTAAGTAAACTTTTTGACATTTTATGTCAAAAAGTTCTGAGTGTTTGAAAACTGAAATTGGTTTAACTGTCGGCGCCACTTACAGGGGCGTAGCCAGCTTTTCGACTATTCAATAGTCGAAAAGCTGGCTTTGTAGGCGTGGCTGACTTTCATTTCCACATACCCTGAAAATTGCACGCATGACTAGTCTGACCAAACCAACACTTTGACCTCTTAATTAATCACCTCAACTACGTATAATTCATTACAAGCGGTAGAGTGATCAAACCAAAAATTTGCAGGCCCGGGCCTACAGGCCTATGGGCTGGCTACGCCCCTGACTTGTTAAAATAATTGTACTCTGGCACGAAGCATTTTCAGCGGAAAGAAGTTACTAGTGATTTTACTCAACAGGACGACAGAAAGAAGAGGACGGCAAAACGCTTGTGTGTGACAAACGTGACAGGGCTATTACTTATGTGTTATGTTGTGATGCTCACTTAACATTAATGTTCTCTGGTATTTGCAAACACATCTGTTTAAAGGAAAGTGAAATTTGACGTAAAGTTATTTCAAACAAAATTATTGTCACCCTTGTCAAACAAGGTTTTCCGTCTTCTTTCCTCTCCCGTCCTGTTGCGTACGTTCACTATTAACTTTAGAAAAATGCAAAGAAAACTATGCCGTGAACTAACCATTTTTTACATCCTTGCCCATGTTTTCACGAAATAGAAAACGAAATCACACTGAGCGAAAGAAAAACACCCTTTTGACGTTTAACCGCGGTGGATATTGGGATACGTGAACTGCTTCGTTCCCAGTCTTTTCCGAAAAGTGAAGGAATACAGAGATCACACAAAGGCGAAGTCTCGTTCATCGAGTACTCTGTTCACTGCCTAGTTTTAGATGCATAACAAAGCGCGTAATAGCGAAAGTTTCGACCCTATCGGAGCAGCCCTAATTTCCATAATGCATCGTTTCTGATACTGCGCCTCTAAGATCATTATTTTTTATTTTGATTTTATTTTAAGACATGGAAAACAAACCGACGTCTTTGGTACCAAGGACGCAGCGATGGATTTCACAACAGAACATCAACAAGGAATTTCTACGATCATTCACGGGTGCCTTGAAAGTTTCTGAGATGGTTAGTTGAGATCGACCAGACCAAAGTCTTGACCCACTCATCTACCAATTGTGTAGTGGTTTCATTTTATGGATGGAATTCCTTACACTATCTGAAATCTCTCGTTTGCGAAAAATAGTCGACGCTGCTCTTTAAAATACCTTATTTCATTGGACCCCTACATGTCGCAGTTCTTTTGTTCAACGACGGTGGAGCTGGGAGGGCTGGGAGGGGCCTATACACCCCCAATATTTTTCAGAAAAAAAGTAAAAACTTACAACCTCGTCCCCAGCTCAGCCTCAAGTCACTAGTCGCTGTCCCTGTTATTTATGTTCTCCCTTTGTTACCGGAGGGTTGGTTTATCTTTTTTAGAGGAAGTTTGTTGTACAAGGTATATAATTTTTAAGAGTTGGCTGTCTCTCTATTGGCAGGTAAGCCTTGGGACCGGCTTTGGCTCATTACTACACTACGTGAAATTGGTTGACGAGATATCGTCAATAGACATTCTGTATTTTGTTATTACGGGTGTGTCCACCTTCTTCACCCTGATTCTTATCGTTACATTAGTCCTCAACCTTCAGCAGAAAATTACAACATCCACCAAAAATGGCAATTTGTTTGTAAGTATGGTAACAATCCGCCACTTTAGAAACGAGAAGGGAACTGGGAACTGACTGGAGCCTAAAAGTATCCCGCAAGTGTTTCTGGGATTGTTACTGGCATAGGCGGTGTAGTAGGAGGCGAAGGGTTGGGGGGTGGGGGGATAGTCTCCCCACGTTTTGGCGCTAAAAAAAGCACTTTTACCGATGTATTTGACAATACCTGTGACATCGTCGACTTCAGAGCGCACATTTTCTGCCCTCAGACAACTCAAGAACTACCTAAGAAGCACAATGAAGTAGGACCGCCTGAACAACTCCCAACTGATGCATTGTCACAAATCGATTACGGACAAACTAGACACTGTGAAGATTGCTTGTGCCAACGAACAACGCAAAGGGCATTTTGGAAAATTTGAGTAGGGGTATGCGTTGGCTGAGTGGAAGATGAGCCCCACCACGAGTCAAAACGCTCCGCCGCCTCTGACCGGTAGCCTGCAGCGCACGCGTATTTTGGGCGGGCGAATGCTGCTTGTTTACCTTCGTACTGTTGTAACCGCCATCTTTGATGTTATGATGGAGGACGGATTAGGGAGAGTAAAAATAGTAACCCTTAGGGTAGCTGCTAGGTAGGTGCTCCCCGCCCCCTACCCGCCTCCTTTTGACTCGCCCCATTTTCTCCTCTCTTTTCGAGTTTCAACATGGCGCATTCGCAAGCAAAACATTCGCGCGCCCGAAGAAAACGCCTGCACTGTAGGCTACTGACTGGGTACGCACTTGTCAGTTACTGGCCATTTTTTCCTTGTCCCGAGTAACAGTCCCAGAACTTGGCGAAAGTTAACTCGACCCAGTTTCCTTGTCGTTTTTAAAGTGGCGAACAACACAGAAAGAATTCAAATAAGTAACGCCGATAAACAATGGAGGTCAAAAGTGTTGGGACCTTTCCAGTGATATTACTTAAACTAGCGACCCCTTCCCTCCCACCCCCAAACAAAGTTGAATTTGGAGCAAAATGGGTGAAACTGAGTGCTTTTTTGGCCAGAACATTGCCAGGGGAAGTAGGGTTGGGGGGGGGAAAGACGGGATGAACCCAAAGCCGCACAAAAAATTGTCCTTAGGAGCAGAGTCCTACGGAACTATTGCTTGGAAGGGCTTTTTCACAGAGTCCCAAGTTCTTTTGTCTTCCATTGAAGTAAATAAGTAACACTAATAAAGGCCTTCACCACAACGTGACGATGGGGTAACTATTCTGATGTGAGTTTGGCCTTTTGACAGCTCTCCACTTGAATTTCGAAAGGCGAAGGGTCACGCGGAGTGGCTCGCTAGCACGCGCGACCATCGACTTCTAGGAGCTTGCTCTCAGGCATCGGTATGCCAAGCAAATGCCCTTTACGGTGTTCGGGAGAGGGTATCAAAAAAGAAGTAAATAAGTTTATCGCTTTATAACTTTAATAGTAACATCCTCGTGAGGTTTTTCAGGGACTATTTACAAACTATTTACAATTTATAAAAGCAAAATGACAATAAAAACTCGAAATCACAATTTATGATGGTATTCTACTAAATTCTAGAGCTTATGAAGGAAATGTCTGCCTCAATAGTGTGTCTTTCAGGGCGCGCATGTTATGTTATGGCATGTTATGGTTAGTGATCGAAAAGTGTTTGTTAGATTCTACGCAGCTGTACACGAGAATCTGTTTGTGGGTGGGTAAAGGCACTATAAAAACTACTTCAGCAGAAACAGCGATCTCCTGGAGACATAAATGAGTAGATAACTTCAAGTAAATATAATGGTATTCAAAGGCTAAAATTACGAGCTGTATTCTCGGGAAACTGGTAGCTTATTTGTAGGGTCTGAACGCACAACTCCTTGATTTAGTTTACGCATAATTCTTTACTTTACCTTACTTTATGCTCTTCCCCTCTCCCGTCTATGTACTTCATGAACCCACTTGATTAAGTAGATACAGGGAATACCAACCTCGTTCCTTGGCATCTGTCTGTTGCCTCCCACCTAGTCCTTGTACAGCGTTTTCCCAGTCCGTCTCGGTCAATTCACTTCGGTGACGTATCCAAGACGGGCGGGAAACGGCCTCACATTTTCGCTTGGGTCACGTGAACCGAGACGCTTTGGCCGCGCGAAATTTTGAGGCCTAGGGACTAAGCAATGTTGCCTCGAGAAAACGGCAACAGAGGCAGGAGCGAGAGGTTGGGGGAAATACTAGTTCAGTGAATTACAATGTTTGTTTTTCTAATTCCACTCTCAGATGCTCATTTATCCACTGATAGCCGCTATTCTATTATTAACGTCATCGAGTCTTCTTGTGCACGAGGCTGTCAAGTTCGGTGATTCCTATCATTCTCAACCAACAAATGACGCAAAGTGTGACACATGTGGCAAGATAAACGTCGCCGCGGTAAGATCAGAATTTGTTACGGTGATTAACAAATGATAAACTGCTCAGCTTTCCATGTTGACTTAGGATGCACGAGAGAGGTTAGCTTAGTGTCAAAAAGGCGTAATATTATAGATACAAGCTTCTTGAGTGCTCAGTAAACTTCCGACCAGGTGACTCGAACGCACAGGTGGCGCACATTAATGAGGCCTAGAGGACTAGCTAACGAGTTACTTACTTTTTCACGTTTCTATAATGGCTAACAAAACAACTGTTCTTTTTCTTTCAGGTGTTTGGTTTTCTGTCATGGATTTTATTCACTTTAGACTTGTTTCTTCAAATGAGACAACACGGGCTTTTTTGTAGACAACGAAAACAACGTAGGACAGCTGTAAGGTCTATAGAGGTTTCACCGCAACAAGAACAGGACACCTAGCCTCAGAACGATGGAGAACATCCGTCCGTATGATATTTGGAGCTGTCATTTCGATTTTTTTGATATATACTGAACAAGCACTTAATTCAGTAGGGAATTTTTTTCCCTGATTATTACAGATTATGTGCAAGCACCTACAGAAAATAGTTGGAAACACTTGAGGATTTCTAGATGAGATGTTCGTTGAATTGTCTGTTTTTTGGATGAGTTATGAGTCATCTTACGAGAAATGGATCAGTCAAGGGGCTTAAACTAAATAGATTTTCATTCCGTGAAAGTCCAGCAGGTCGCATTATTGGCTGACCGGTCCTTCGAATAGTGTTTGGATCCCGAAAATTGCAATCAAATGAAACAAAAAAACATACAGTTGGGAAACAGTCGAACTCCTCTTTACGGACACCCGCTTAATATGGACACCACGATATTACGGAGAGTTTTCTGTGTCCATAGGGAGAGAAACCCCTTAAATTTTCTCTAAATTCAACCCGCTTAATACGGACATGCATTACTGCGGACAACGGACACTTGTTTCTTACTCAATCAAAACAGATTCTCATAGAAAGTCAACCTCGCTAATGCGGGCATTTCATTGTCAACTGCGTGCTGTAATAAGCCTTTCCTTTTTCAAGGTAAAAAACCTTCAGTTGACAGCATGTCGATATTCCCAGCGCTACACAGGCGCGGATCGACACCGGTTTCCACGGTTTTACGGAAATCGTTCAGATTTTTCATAACAAATATCTTTTTTATAATAAAAAACTTTCCAAGTTGAAATTTTGCTCCATATCCTATACAACATGGAAATTAAACTTGATGAAATAATCCGCCGATTTGCAAGACTTTATCCGAGGATAATGAACTGGCCAATATCCCGTATGAATGACTCAAAAACCAAGGAAAGGGGACTTTTGAGAGTTAAAATTCAAAAATTTCCCAGTGGGGTATACTTACAGACCCCCCTAGGAAGCTTGTACCTTAGGCGCTCGTTTTGGAAATCAGTCAGTATTTATTCTAGATCCGCGCCTGCTACAGTACACCGGATAGGATTATTTGTATACGTCATTTTCGGTCTATTTTACCATCAAACGAATTATGGAGAGAACAGTTTTGATAAGTTATCGAAAGTTAAATATAAACATGAGCGATTTTTGATTGTTTTCGTCGATTTGGTTCGCGGAATGACGGATTTGCATTTGAAGGTTAGAGATGTTCAACTTGACTATGCTTGTATCCTCTTTTATTTCCTTTATAATATTTGTTTTAATAAAAGGTGTTTTTTGACTTAAATAACATGACCCGCTTAACACAGACACCCCGTTTATACGGACACTTTCGATGGCTCCTTCAGTGTCCGAATTAACTAGCCTTCGTCGCAGACGCTCTAAACCTTCTATATAGACGAGTGCGTGGGCCGGCTGCAACGCAGGCTAGTATTAACGGGCTTTGACTGTAATGAAAAAAACCGTTATATTTGTCATTAAATGATAAGTGTTGTACTGTCAAAAATATTGCGTATAGTGACCTCTTGTTCGACGGACAGACACACCCAGCATCCCTTCAGTTCTGACTTTTATACAATCCCGTGCGGTCACTGACATTGTTTAACTGTGACAGAAGGCTGTCAAAGATGAGCACTACTAGCCGCTCCCAACAGTGTTTGTGTTAAAGGGAAGTAACTGCGCAAAGAGCGAAATTAGGTTCCAATACAGTAATGGTTAACAATAATTTGTGCTTTTTAAATGCTTCATCATTTTAAAGTCATACGCAACTCTCTTAAATTGTCCTTTTGCACTCCTATGAATCAAAGATAACCGTAAGAGGCTCCCATACAGGACTGAATAACTCTACGTTGACTCTATGCCAGAGTATAAATGCAGCTTACACAAGTTAAAAAATTACTCTTAAGAGTGTACAATTCATTCAAAGAATTGTGGTCATTTCGCCAGAAGTTGTTTCGCCCGGATCTACAACACGGCTTATCAGGGGTGATTTTTGGTTAAGCTTCGATACTATAGCTGCGATTGCTAAAAAAGGTTCAGCGATCTGAACGATCTCGATAATCGCATTCGAAATACTGAAAGACTGAACTTAAAACTGAAGTCTACATGTACCTTAACCTCGTTCCCAAGGTTCTCTCCTACCCGTCCCTACGGAGCGAGAGAGAGCCGGAGAGAGACGACAGGTAGGAGAGAGAACCTGGGAACGAGGTTCATGATATTTTTTAAGTTTTCACTGAAAAAAAGGTTGATGATCCACATGTATGCGTGCGGTCAATGCCTTTTCACGCTTATTCCTTTTTTCAGGCTTTAAGAACGACGAACTAAAATCGGGCGAAACGACCTGTTACCATATTGCCGGTCCCGTATTAAAACTTGACTCACTCCTTTGTAATTCTAACCTGGTTAAAGCCAACTAGGCTCCGTCACAGTTTTACAGCCGCAAGTACAAATGTTTTCTAACATCAACTGTTCAAAAAGATGGTCATCCTAGCCATATTTCCAGGAATTATCTATCCTTCAGACCAAGATTTGCTTGGAAAAATGCTCCATCTCCTTGAGTAGCAGACTGAAATAACAGAAAGAGCAACGTCTTCGTTTTTGAATATAATTGAACTCTAAAAATATCTTGGATCAAATGAAACTGCATCTACAGTTATAAAAGAGTGTGCACATTTACTGTAGACACTTTCATTTTCCTTAAGCAAAATTGTGAGCTGAATCTCTGTGATAATATTTAGGAGGAAAATCAAAACACAGAAAAACAACAAATCCTCGATTTAGGTTATTTGCAACTAATTTAGTCAGCTTCTCTGAATAATTTAGTCTGAAACAAGTTCTCTCCAACACCTGTCCTACTGTATACACTAGAAATGCTGCACAAGAAAATTAGCTACACTCGTTTTTTTTTATAACAATGTTGTTTCTCCGGCCCAGGCTGAATCTTCTCATTTTTCTGCCGATTTTAGGCTGAAAATATTCTCGTATTATTCCTAAATTATAGCTTATGACATTTCCGTTTTACAATAATATTGGGGTATAAATTATAGTAAGTGTAAGTTTTTTCGTTTTGTTGACAAGTTTTGCCGTTTAGAGAATGAAATATGTTGAAAACATATAATTGTATTGTATTTAAGTTTTTGAACACACAAAATTATATCCTTTTCAAAAATCTCAGCCTGGGGTTTATTCTTAAAATATTCTTAAAATTTCGCAAATTTCAGCCGCGATATTCTTATAAAATATATTCTTATAGAAAAAAGGAGTATATTATAATTATGCCCAGATAACAAACCAAAACCCTACCATTTACCATATGATACCCACAAAGTCCTCAATCGCTTCAGGATTATAACATGATTATGATTTACCTCCCCGTTGAAAGGTGCCACACATCCCCTGATGAGAATACACCCAAGTAAACCCGAAAGCTATCAAATGTCCATTATAATCTGCATGTATGCAAAGACAATTTACTTTTTAAGAGGAGTTTTAAACTAACCTTGTTAATGGCTTTATGTCTCTCCCTACTTACAATCTCTTCCAAAATCTCACCAGTGCCTTTGACAAGCCTGTTGAAAAATATTTAAATGATTATTTGTGCACACATGTACTAATGTGAAAAATAATATGAACTCTATCAAAAGCATCAGTAATGCATTGACTGTGAGTATATTGCCCTCTGAAGAACTGTTGTTGGGCTTTTTTCCACAAGGAGTGATTGAGACACTTGCATATTGTCAATGATTTAAAAAGCCCTTTTTTAAAACACATTTCTAACATTTTTACCTGTGTCGGCCAGTCTCTGGGTCATACACTCTCCTAATCTGGGCTTGCTGTTTCTCATATTCTTCCTTTGTCATGGGAACCATAGATCTTTAAACCACAAATTGAATGTGTTAGTTTAACGTAATAATCAACCACATAAAAGCTTGACACTTCCAGGGTCTTTCCGAAAAGTCAGAACTGGTCAGTGGGACTGGTCATTTTGAAAACACAGGCCGCACTGAAGCCACAGGGCCAAGAAAAATATTATTATTTCCAAGGCTACGCCCCCTTCTTATCCTAGGGTCTTAAAGATCTCAATCTAGTAATGTTGTGTTCACTAGTATTACATGGTTGCACTGCTTAGGCCCAGGAGGGGAGGGGGGGAGGTACTCCCTATAACAGCCTATACGGGAAGGCTCCACCCAAAAGGGCCTCAGGTATATGAACGGGTAGGAATTTCACTAGCTGTAGCATATAAAAAGGCAGGGAAATTTGTCATTTCCATCTGTAAAAAGGTCTAATAGCTGTAAAAAGGTCCAGAAAATTTCCTGGGTGTGTGATTTATTCATTTCAAGACAGTGCATTTACAGCAGTTAAAAGGGATGCAACTACAGTAGTTATATAATGTGAAAGGGCTACCATTTGTCAATGGAAAGTATCTGTTGTGGTTTAATTTTTTTCCCTGGTTTAAATTTTATTTTCCTTTTTTTGGGATATGGTAATGTATGATAATGAGTTTGAGACAAAGGGAAATAAAAAATTAAACCAGGGATAAAATTGAACCACAACATACAAAAGGGGTGCCTTCTCTGTCAAAAATGGTTTATAACAGTATAAGGGGTTGGACCTTGGGACAGAGCCTCTCTGTATAAAACTTTGTTACCTCCCTGCCCCCACCCACAGATGTTAAGGAAACTAAACAATAGCATGCTACATGTAACATGTTGTGACCAACAAACTAGATTGACATCAAGATTGTCACTAGTTTGTAAAATTTATAAGTATATTTAATATACTTAGTAAGGCAATTGCTTTTAAACTAACTGGGTCAGTAGGTGTTACTACCTTTGCCCTGCAGAGATGACCATTGTGTGGCTTGGATGACCATGTGGAAATTGATGATGGTCACCTTAATAAGCACGTTTCTGCTAGAACCATTGACACTAAAGTTATTTTTAGATGCAACAAAGCCGGTTTCTAGTAATGAATCACTCCCTATGTATGAGTAATATTCCATCAGATGTTTACTGAAAGTTACAAGGTTTTTCTATAGCTACCTCTTTTTGGGTGCAGTGTCACTTCCAGAATCAGGTGAAGTGGGTTTTTTCTTCAATTTATCGGCATCTGGAATAAGAACCAAAACATTAAATGGCTATTTGCATCTCTTGTGTAAGATTATCCACACGCAATGAAGATTCACTAAAATGTCTGAGTAGCCCATCTCTTTTGAGCTCTGAAAGAATAAACCTTCTTTCAGGAATGCTTGCCATGAATGGAATTAGATCCATTTGCCACTTGTATGTTTACGTTCAGTAATCTACAGCAAGGTGAATCCAAGCAGAAAGAACCAGGCATAGTTAATCAATAGAAATCGATATCGGAAATCAATCAATATAATATTGATATCAACCGATAGCCATCAAAGTCACCGAAAAATTATTTATCGATTAAAAAATTGATTTTAAACAATCAACAGTAATTAGTAGTCATCGATAACAAGCAATAATCTTGAGGAGTATATGGTTCAAATATTTTGAACATGACGATGCTATTTGGCAAACAACACAGAGAAGACCAGCTTAACCTTAACACATTATTTTCATTTTTGAATAAGCAGCTACTCCAGGTATAGTCTTCATTGCATTCCATTTTTTTGTTTCTTTGGTTTTAATAAATTTTTACATGTCCATCCAATCAAGCACCATCAGAGGCATTTTGTATTTGTATTTTTGCAATCATTCTCAGACTGGAAATTACCCTTTGTGCAGCCTCCCCTGACAAAGGAAAAATGGAGAGAGGAGGATCCCTCGATTAAAAACACCTAGCAAAGAGGCGGGATGAGACTTGCTTGCTCTATAAATACTATTTATGTATTAGTAAAATAACTCTGACAGCATCTCTGTGCAAAAATTTAGCAGGCCCTACAAGCTAAGGCCGATTTTACTGAGATTTTCTAAACTGTTAACACACAGTTTCATACAAAAGCATGGTGTGATCTGGTATTGGAGAACTTAAACTAACGTAACTCCTTTATGAGCTCCCCACTGGGATTTTTTTTGGTGGGGAGCAAAATGGAAGAGCGGCCAAATTAAGTGGGAGGTTATATTCTACTAGCCCAGAGTCATACATATTTTGCTTATTAGCAAATATTTTCAGACCTTGAGGTGGAGAGTTCTTCGAGATCTCTTTTTCCTTATTCTCAGCAGACGTCTCTTTTAACTCTTTCTCCTTGCGTCGTTTACTTTTCTTTTCCTTCCTGTCCCGTTTTCTTCTCCGCTTTTCTTTCCTTCTTTTCAGTTTCTCTTTATGAGCATGTTTTCTCTTCTTTTTACTTGTCCCAACATCTTTGCTAGGAGAACGCTCGCTACCGCTGTCACTAGACGAAGTGCTGCTGCTAGACCTATACTTTTCATCATCTCTTTTTTTCTTTTTCCTCCTCTTTTTCGCAGTTTGTTGCGATTCTGAGTGTCTTATCTCGGTTTTTCGCGATTTCGCTTCGTGTCCTCCGTCGCTTGAGCTCGACTCACTCACATTATCCTCGTGTCTTCTTTTTCTCTTTTTCTTTCCATCCATGTTTCAGAAGTTCCTCTTCAATATTTCTGTAGTCAACTTCATTCTATTTAACTGCACATCGTTCAAAATGACTGTCAATAACGGCGTGCATCAGGATAACATACAACCGAACTCACAGTGAATTCCAAGGACGCCATTTTGATTTTTTTGAAAAAGACTGGGACTAGTACGTATTTGAAAAACATCAATGTGAAAGGTCTCCAAGGGATCGTGGAGCGAAAAAATTAAAAGCTCTGTTAAATGGGTGTCTTCGAGGAATTATTTTTGCATTTTTAGTGACTAAAGTATACTTGTCTTTTGGCGGATAGTATACCAGTAACATAGAGCCTTCAGAAAGTACCTTGTGCCGCTCTGCTCTTTTTAAGCCACAGGCAGCCCAAGCGTACCACTGTGTGGATGAAGGCTTTGGAAGTCAGACACTCAATGCAATACCCAATGCAATCTTTTCTAAAACTGTTGACCAGTTTTACCCTACTCAATTTGATCCAATACAGTTACATATTTCATGCTTGTTTAACTCGATAAAGACGATTGTGTCAAGGTTATAAAGTGGTTTTGTTGGGATGAAACAAAGTGGATCGGTAGGAACTACTTTGAATCTCTGTCGATAGGATTGAGTTTAGTGTTTTAGTGGGATTGGATCGTGTTTTATACGTGTGGCTTGCAATTGAATTGTCTGATTATATTGCTTTACGAGTTTCTTATTATAGTGGATATATTTAAGCAAGCAAACAAGCCTGATTTTTTTTCACGCTTTTTTTCGCAACTACATAAGTTTGTCTCTTTAACTGCGATGATCTTTGCATCTATTTCTTCGTTCCAAAGTTCAAATTTATGAAATTCATGGATACAACATTTCATCCTCATCTTTCCCGAGTATATTACGAACGTCAGGGTTCGAATCCCGGCAAGCCTGGATTTTTTTAAGGATATGTTTTTGCAACTACATAAGTTGGTCTTTAACTGCGATGATCATCTTTGTATTTATTCAATTTATAGAATACTAGTTAGCTTTGGGTAAAATGGGGTTTATAAAGTTTACTCTAGAGTTTTAAAAGACTGAAAGAAAGACACAGATATCCACATTTATGATGTAATATCAGGATTACTTTGTTACTTAATACATTGTCTTTGTGAAAACTGTATAATATTTACACTGATAAATACAAAAGTTTCATAACAGCAAATATAAAAACTTTTCTAACTCTGCTTGTATCACGAAAAGCAGTAATTTAACACTGGTTAAAGAGCCAGTGAAAGCCACGTGCTGTGAGTGCTTTCAACAGCTTCAAAAACGTCCCCGCATATTTTCATTATTTGCACAATTTCATTGGATCCTTGACACGATTTTGCTTGGACTTTCCATCGCCGCACTTTGTGAGTGATCAACACCACGTGTGACATTTTCGCACACGTTTCCCGCACGTTAACAGGCAAATTAATTAACAGAATTATAGACTGGTTTATTGGGGCATCCTCAGCTCCAGTAACTGACTATAACTGGAGTCATTTTACCATTGTAGTACCTAACTAACACCATACTATACAGTGTAACTAACAATAATATAAATAACGGACGTTGAGGAAGCTGAGTCGCCAATGTTAATGCCAGGTGGCACAGTTTAGGTCCTCTAATTCTGCTACTAGGTCTAGTACTGTATCAAGCGATCGTTACAACCACTTCAAGGAAGACAGAGCCAAAGTTAGTGGGGGATTGAATCCAATGGACTTCACAACAGTGGAATAACTGATTTGGTACGCTGTTTTATTCTCCACTGATTTACTAATGGCTCCTTTTGTTTCACATCATTGGTCCCATGCCACTCTCCAAAAGAACATCGTCCTAGTTAGAAAAATAACTCAGTGTAACTGGTTTGAACCAAGAAAAATTATGGGTCCGAGGAGTGTGAATATCCAGTTTTCGAAATGAAAAATATTTTATAAACCAACGAAGGACAGTAACAAAAAACTAGGGAGAAGATACAGTGTGCACGAACAGACCTATCGATGGAGAAGAAGGATTAAAACAATGGAAATGTGCCCGCAGGGAAGAACAGGAGTGGGAACCAATAGAGACAGATGGACTTGACTTGTAAAAAAACGCACGGGATTATGAAAATACAATGTACACGAACAGACCTATTGATGGAGAAGAAGGGTTCAAACAATGGAAACGTGCCGGAGGACAGAACAGGAGTGGGAACCAATAGAGACAGATGGACTTGACTTGTAAGAAAAACGCACGGCATTATGAAAATACAATGTACACGAACAGACCTATTGATGGAGAAGAAGGGTTCAAACAATGGAAACGTGCCCGCAGAAAAATACAACAGCCGTGACCAAAAAAATGTGGACTAACGAAAAACATGCACGGGACTGACAGTCCAAGGGATTTCGAACTAGGAAGAGAGGAGAGATTCCACCTCTACCAAAGGACGAATAACGTGGAAGAACTAAATCGTATGATGCCGATGATGACGATGGACGTTACATTATGTAAAATTTTGTACCAATGCATGCATAGCATATCAGACCTTCATGAACCTGAACGATCATACTTGAAAGATTGGCAATCTATCTAAACCACACATACACTAGTCTTCGTTCCTAACCCGTCAAACTAGTTTACTACTGAGCAACACGCTCACGCGTTTACTGTTTTCTATTTGAACTAACCTCACTTAACCAAAAAAAAAAGAGGTAAACGAAAAAAAGAGGTCAAGTCAAACCAAAATAGTAGTACTCAGTGGCGGATCCAGCACAGGGGCCCGGGGGGGGCGCCACCCCCCCCCGTCATTATTAGACCAAACTGAGGCCCGAAGGGCCGAAAAATTTTTTTTTGGAGACGGCCCCTCCCCCCTTATCTAAGGGTCTGGGTGACCAGGCCCCCTCCCTGGTACTAATATAGGTGTCATGGTGTAATAGATGCATCCTACCATCAGGTTGTGAAACACAGTGTTCATAGCCTCCTCGTAGTGTTGTTCTTCCATCAAGTAAGCGTCACCTGTCATCCCCTGTTTTCGCTCTGCTTTGTTCAGGGTCTGAAGCACTACATCGGAAATTAACTTTCCCGCCGAGGCCGTCTGGATTGTCTTCTTATATCTTTCTAACTTTCCAACAGATAAAAGCTCTTCATTGACCTGTGCAAGGTGGAAGATACAGTATTTTAAGTATCCGTATCCTTTCCACGTAGATTTTGGATGAAAGTTCACAAGTGAAAAATTATCGCTATATCTTGAACTTATACCTTTAATAAACGTGTTCGCTACAGACCCTCTATCTGCTTACTGTAGCGAAATGAGGAAAATGTAATTTAGCCCAAACTAAACAGAATATTACTAGGGTCGTCTAAAGGTTGTGCCTTAAAAACATTGGTTGACCTTTTGATAAAATACAGCGACCTCTTTTACTCACAGGTAATGGAATACAGTCCTCTTGGGAATAATGTGCATCCCAGAGACATACAGCCACACAGCTAGTGCCCTGAAATCAAACAAAGTTGTCCTTCACAAATCTTCATTCGTTATTTGTTGGGTATGTTTCAAGGCTTTTCTAGACAATTGTGGGATATATTTCAGCTCTAGTTCACCTCTCCTTTCTAAAGTGGCGAATTTCGTATCGTCAAGGAAAAGGTAACAACACTTGTCCTCAATGCCTTGTTCCGGCTCCCGAGCACAACTCACTTTGCTGCTCAGAGCGAAGATTCCTGATGATAGCAGTTGTTTCTTATTCAATAAACAATCTTACAAGCAGAGTGTGTGTGTGTGCAGGCTGGGGGCAGGTGGTAGAGGGCAGGGGGAAATAAACTTTTTTCGTTGTTATAGGTAAAGCCCGGGGGGACACTCCCTTATTTGGCCTATATGGGTATGTGCCGCTGAACAGGGTATGGTTTTCAGGCTCTTGAGTCTTACAGGGTGTCTTTTTGGACCGGAAGCCTTGTGTGAGTTTTGGCGGTGTGCAGTCTATGTTTGTGATAAGGGAATTTTTTTAAATAACCTTATTTTATTCTGTCAGTAATCTAAGAAACAGTCTTAGACAGGGTATGAAAAAAGTCTCTTGTCTTAAACCGGGTATCAAAATGAGGGGATTTTGTCTTAAACGGGGTCAAGGTTTGAAGACCTTGGCGGCACACCTACACCCAAATTGCACTTAAGTGCCCCCCCCCCGGGGGGGGGGGGGGGGGTAAAGGAGACTCTCTTTAAATACTCTGTCTAAAGAAAACCTCAATTCTAATATATTCAACTCCAATTCTCGATTTAAGAAGTTGTTTCTCATTTAATTCACAAACTTACTAGCAGAGTGTGTATGCGTTGATTGACTGCTTCTTTCAAACTTACATCCACTGTGTGACTGGATAAAAACTCCAAGAAAGTCTGAAAAGTCAAAGAGCTGCATGTCAGTAGCAAGTCAGAGTTGAGTTGAAAGGTATTACAAAAGTTAAGACTGCAGGGCCTTTCGGGAATACTACGGTGGCTTGCAGGGAAAAAACACTTCCCACAACCAGAATCCAAAAACACTTCCAAGAATCCAAAACACGACCCAAAAACCAAAAACACATCCAAGAATCCAAAGTACTTGACACAATCCAAAACACTTTTGGATTCTGGAACGTGTTTTGGATTCTGGGAAGTGTTTTGTTCCTATGAGCCACGGTAGATTACAGCTTGCGATAACGGACACATAGAACGGTGTTAGGGCAGCACCACAAACGACAATTCTGCAATGACTGACAATCCAACGAACCATTCCGAGGACTATAAGCTACTATAAGCGAAATCCAGCACAAAGCGTCTTTCCTGAAAAACAGGCCTTCCTTAGGGGTTAGGGGAGAGGAGGTCTTAGAGTCAGGGGGGGGAAGAGAGAAGAAGGTTTTTCTCCCTTTGCTTTTTCGCTTCTCTCTTCTTATCCCCAAGGAACGCCCAAGGAACGCCTAATACGCAGGGTACAAAGCGCCCAAGGCAAATCAGACACACCGGTCCAGTGAAGATTTCGTTCACAAATTAATTGATAAACTTTAAGTAACTTACAGGACTTGGAGATCCTTCAAAGATTGGTAGATAATGAACTCCTGCATTCACATACTCCCTTGTTTAACGAATGAGAAAAGAAATACAATACACTAATTTTCAGTTCATACACAAAGACGGGCTTGAGGAAAGTCGGTAGGAAATCTAATCAGTAAATTGAAAAGTGAGACTGTCAGACAAGATGCAATAATCATTATCAAAAGCGCGGAACATAGAAAATGAATTTGAAATCCTGATAGGTTTTTCTCTGGAAAAATGACCATAATCTTATTACAACGCTATAACTGCTAATAGAACAGTTTCACTTGTTAAATTTTTGGTACAAAAGGTGAAACTTGGGTGTTGCATACAAATTCCAAGCACTTAAAAAAAAAAACAAAATCGCTCACATCAAGCAGCTACATACGTGATGGTTGATTTGTGGAAACCCTTGATTTGCGACAGCACTTAGAGTTACGTACACGACCCTTATAAATCAACCGCTTTTTTCTGGGCTTAAACCAACCAAACCAAACTAAAAATATCCATCAATCCGATTTAAAAGGGCTCATCTCAATGGTATAAGTCATGTTCATAAATAAAGTTTGTTTGAAATGAATCTCGCTGGGAAAGGCTTCGGGTTGACCATAACCAAGAAAGTTTAAAAAAAAAAAAGCGTCTACACCTGCCCAATTAAAGGGCAGTTAAGAATTAATTTAAGCTTCATATTTGGAAGCAAAAGAGTTTTGAAACGTATAAGGTCTGGACGACTGCTTGGAAAGACACTTAAAGAATAATTCACATCTACTTTGTGTCTTACTTTGAAAAGAGTTGAAGCACAGTCCATCCAAAGGGTACTACAGACATAACTTTGCCTCTAGTAGCCGTGACTGAGCCTGGTGCGGCTCTGTCAGCACGCGGTGTGTATTGAGCGTCAAGTGAGCACAGCCTGATTACAAGGGTGGTCAGGTCTGATATGTGAGGGTGAAACACCTACCATGGAGAAAATAAACAATCAAATTACTAAGTTTACTATGTGAACATAAGTCAGAGGACGGTGTGTACGTGGCGTAAAATGGTTCGTAAAAACAACGATGCAATTTTCTGCTTTGTTAAAAAATTTAACTGGACTTAATTCCCCGATAGCGCGCGCTCTCATTGAATACTTCGAGGTCACATGACATCAAACAATTAAACTGTTTTCCGCCAAAAGTCAACAACATTGCAAAATCTATGACGTCAGAGGATAACAGTGCACTGTTGCCCGCGAATATTGACCCCTCGCCGAGATTTACTTTCACAAATTTGTACGCGGACAAGTTGTTCTTCGTGGGCTATATAAACTCAGTCAATGACTGACCCCTCTGAAATCTTTCCCTCAAATCTCAGGTGAGTAAAGCTTCTGTAAAACGGGCAACACAAACATGAACGTGCAACTTGTTTCGGAACATTGCTGCAAAACGAGTTGAAAAGCGATGTTACCGGTTTTACCAACCACGTTCAAACCTGTTTTGCAACAAGTCAGGTTGTTGCAAATTGCGTGAATACTGACTTCTGATTGGACGAGATTACGCGGGAGTCACGCCATAGACGGAAGTTATGTCACTTGCTCCAAAACCGAAGTTTGTCTTGAGCTGGTAAAACGCGCAACATGTACAGATTTTGTTGCAAAAAAGTAGAACTACTCGCTACTTTCTGCACCATCTTTTCGCAACCTGCAACAACTCGATTTTCAGGTGTGAACGTGGATGGTAAAACGCGCAACATCACTTTTCAACTCCTGTTGCAGCAATAGGCCGATTTAGCAACAGAACGGGAACGCCAGTTAACGACGGCGCGCGCAAATCAAGAAACTGGCTTGACCAATGGCAGAGCGGCAAATTGGGGACCGGAAGTCGCGTATAATCCTTTCAGCGCGCTTTCCCGTCGCCAACTGAGTTTCCCGTTCTGTTGCTAAATCAGCCTAATGTTGCAAGATAAGTTGCACGTTTATGTTGCCCGTTTTACCGTGTCTTAAGATTCTTGGGAAACAAAACAAACTGTTTACCTTGAGAGAATTCATTAACTGATTGATACATTAGTACATGCAACACGTAGCAAAAGTGGGCAGTAGTATAAAATGAGTTACTTGAGACCTCTAGATTCGAGGACGAGAACGACTCCGAGTACGAGATTTGACTGAAAGTTTTTTGGCGTATTCTTTAAAAAAATATACACCCCGGGACGCTTCACTGTACTTTTGAATCACCAGAAAAATTAGCACTGTTATTTTTATTGAAGGAAGTTAAGCCCTCTCCGGATCGCAAAATGATAAAACTTCTAATATTTGAAAACTTGTTTCTGTCACCACGACATTCTCGATAAAAGCCGAAGTAGAATGACGACAGCTATCAAGTTTTCCCGCCAAAATGACGTTGGTTCACGCGCGCGCACTACGTAGTACTGAGAAAATCTCGTACTCGTAGTCGTTCTCGTCTTAGAATCTAAAGGTCTCTATTAACTCGAGGAGTGAACAGCTTGTAGTTCACTAAATCTTCCGTCTGATAACTACAGACAGGAAAATACAGCAGGTTTTTTCTATTACTTACAGTCGGTGAGTCTATCCACTTGGGGGATTTCTGGTAACTGTTGAAGTCACGTGTCTTTATGAGTGCCTTCTCTTCTCCACCGTGTCCCTCTTCTGTTACTTCTGTTCTTTGCACATCTTGTCCAGGAGACACGAAAACCAGTACATTTACAAACGATCTGTTTCCAGGAAGGCCAAATGCTTGCTCTACCGTTAACGCCAGACCCTTTAGTGAAGACGTTGGAAAGAAAGAAAAAGCAATATTTGCTTTAATAGTCCCATCATATGCTCCCATATGGAAACAGGGCGGTCCGTTTAAAGCATATTGTTTGTTTACTCGACCATTACAGGTCATCATTGTACCTTATTCTGGAAGGAATCGGAATATTTTTGGGTAAATAAAAGTCTTTTTAACAGTGAGCTTTTTGGGTGAGGGTTACCGACTCATTTATACAAGACCTACTAACAAAATCTACCTGTAAAGAAATTATTTCCTCAAATTCTAAACCCACTTAGAAACAAAAACAAAGCAACTATTCCCCGAAAACTACGAATTTATCATGTCTCGTTTATCTTCTAAATAGCGAAAAGTCTGTGCACATAACAACACATAACTAAGAAAACACAGTAAGCCAACCATAACGGAGGGCGGCCCCAGTTATGATAACAGCAAACGGCAGCACAAGGAACCCAAGGTGGCAAAATTCACTGCACTAAAAACCGCCACGATCTTGCGTCTTTGTTTGTTAACTCATACCATACGACAAGATTTCGATATATTTAGATTCACACTCGGCTTCGAGGCTTGGGGGGTCAAAACAAAAGAAATCACCTGGAGTTTCAAGGACAAGTAATACATTACTTTTGTTTCATTCCTTAAGCCTGGGAGCCAAGAAAGAATTTTACTCCATCGAGTCTATTGTTACGTTTGATTATTTTCTTATGCCATTTCTGCATGAACAGTAACTCCACCTTAAGGCTTGCCTGCATATACATATTAACCCTTTAAGTTCCAATAGTGACCAACATCAATTTTCTCCTAATGATATCCATACAATGTCAAGAGATTAGGTTATGAGAATTAATTAAATGATCACCGAAGGGGAAAATGCTTTGATCTTTTCTCAAATTCTCTCAACTCATTCTTTCAATAAAAGTATACACTTGCTTGTTTTTGGTCATACTGCACAACTTTCACCAGATCCATTGGTTTGGCGGGCTGTCTCATTAACAAGTGCTTGCTTGTTCTCCGCTGATACCAAGCGGTGACAGCTTGATCATTTGTAAAGTCAAATCCTGGAGAAACAAACCATATTATCAAAGACAAAATTATATAAAGCATGTACTTGTAATCTTTACTGCTTCGATTGAAATGCGACAAAAGATACACGTTTTTAGTTTTTAAATGTCGAAACTGACAATTAGTCCAGTAAATTTAAACGCGAACTTGTAAGAAGCAACAACGACTGTGTTTTGTTTACGACGGGGCAGCAATGACAAGCTGATGGTTTCTCATGCACTTCCCAAAATGATATATTTATGGTGTCTTTTGGGTGTACATGTATTTTTATAAAGATAGGAAATAAACATGCCCTCCCAAAGAAGGGCGCCTTCGACCGACCATATTCCAAAACAATAACAAATAAAATTAACTCTGAAACCAGAGCCATTTCTGTGGCCCTAAGTCCTGATGAAGGGGACTTGCACCAACGCTTTTTTCCAAAATGCAATGAACTGAAAAATTTTGCTACGTTCAGCACGCAAATACATCATACTAACCGTTTGTACCTTCCTCTTGTTCAGCTTCTCCTTCTTTGATGTCTCGCAGAGCCTCTCTTACTGTAGGTGGATAAACATGGTGGTTCTTGAATCTTCTGAATATGCGCCATTCAGAATCAGTCGGTTTACATTGTTCACTAAAATAATATCCACTAGAGTAACCTGGGGATTCAACGTATTCCTTGAAAACAAAATAATAAGCAGACAATGATCAATTAAAATGTTTTGTACAAGGATTACCAATTCTAGAGTTCCGTTAAATTTTAAAAAAAACGACGTACTGAACGACAACATCAGCTGTGAGTAAAGGTGATGTTACACGGGGCGATTCGTGCGTTTTTAGCGCAACACAGCGTTGCAATGTTGGAACAATGTTGTAACTATTCAAAACAATGTCGCAACAATGCTGCAACGCTGCGCTGCGCTAAAAATCGTCGTTGCGAATCGTCTCGTGTAACATCACCTTAAGACCCCGTTTACACGGGTCCGGACAAATTTTTGGCGCAACGGACAACAACTTGCACGGATCCGCCTATCGTTTACACTGGATCCGCAGAACCGTGTAAGTTTTTGAACGGTAAACAGCATTGCAATCAGTTACAAAAATTTGCACGGTTCTGTGTAAACGGGCTTCACAGGTAATTCGTCCGTTCAAAAATAGGTCCGGCCGGGACCCGAGTCTACGTGGTCTAAAAAACGCCACTTAAACTACACTGGTTATCGCGCTAGCCATATGAGTCCAAAATAAGGAAGAAAAAAGGAGAGAAAATAAATATTTTGGTCATATTCAAAAGGAAGTCATTTAAAGGCCCAGTTATTTAACGATGGAAAAGATGGAGTAGACATGGCAGACGAAAAATCATTAATGACAACAATAATGACAACTGGAAAAACAACTGAGGAAGATAGGTTTCAAGTTATGCTTAACTGAAGAAACGGCACAAACCTCTGAGTGTGGCAAAAACCTGATGAGAATCGAACAGACTGGTACTTTTGTTATACCATCAAAAGCTTGTTCTGTTAATTTAGCGACAGTGGATGGAAGAAGATGCTTCATTGGTAGCTGATGTCCTCCAGCATTTAAACGCCACTAAGGAAAGAAAAAGAAAAACTTTAAAGTTGTTCTGTACAGGAACAGCACCATGGATTTTTCGTCTTTAACTATCAAGAGTCATAATAGCCATTTCGTCGAATTTCGGGTATTGTTCGTCACTCAAAACGCCTTTTCTTAAGGTCCTTAAGGGTGGATTTCCACTGTCGCGTAATTTTCACGTCCGTACACGCGTAAATAACATAGAGGTGATGTATGACAGGCTGCGCAGGGGCGGATCTAGGGGGAGGGTGCAAGGGGGTGCGCCCCCCCCCCTGAGATGACCTGCGGTTTTCTAATACAACTGGTTTTCTGCACCAAAAAAAAGCAAGAGACGAGTGCACCCCCTCCTAAAAAAAATCCTGGATCCGCCCCTGCTGCGCATAAACGCAAAAGTTGTACGTTTACGTGTGACCTTCCATACAATATTGCCTCTATTTTATTTACGCGCGTAAAATTTACGCACGTACGCACGTTCGCACGTTAAAATTACGCAACAGTGGAAATCAACCTTTATAGCAAAACTAGCCGAGAATCGAAGTCGTTAGGATGGCTCAATTACTTCTATAGGGAACAAGGAATATTCCTCGCTCTTTAAGCCAAGTACGTGATACTATTCACAGCTAAACTGAATCACCTTGTATCGAAATGACCGGTAACCAACATGGCGAACGTAGCAATCATGACAACTGTATGGAAACAAGCCTTTGCTGGTGAAGTACACGTAAGCCCCATGACGAAAGCAAAGTACATCTTAATCAAGCACGTACCTCGTCATTCTCATTTTCTTTGAAGAGCCTGATAACACTGTTACCGACAACAAGAAGTTCTCCAGTATTAACATCTAAGGTGTAGATTCTCAGTAACAGCACAGCCTCCCCAGTGATGCCTTCTGGAGGTACATTGACACTGTACCTAAATTGAAACTTAGGACATCGTGCCCAGGACTCCAATAGAGGAAAGGCCTCAATATCAGGAACGTCCAGTGTGGAAGGTTTCTTCCAAAAAGGTCCTAAGATTCGACCAGTAACCTGATGTTAAGGTTCAGGGAAACAAAACCCATTAGCGGAGACAGAGACTGTTTAAGGTATCACAGGCTTTATTCCTAACTTCACATGAGTTAACTAGTAAATTTTGAATTAATTTCACGCTGGTTCAAGACCTGTAGACCCTTTCACGGTTTTTCAACTTTCGACTAGGACTAGTTTGCGAAAATCCGTCAACACGGCTGGAAAGAACGCGTTAAATTCAGTTAAGTTTCCAAGTTTAAAGTGATTTGTTGTAAATTAACGAAGATGTAGCTCTGCAATGTCGAGAAATTTTACAGTCGTCTGTATGGTGGGGTTCGTGCCCCTCACCATACAAATGTCTGCAAAATTTTGCAACTTTGCAGAGCTGCATGTATATCTTCGCTCTCTTTAGACGTATCTCCTTTAAACTTGGTAAGTTACTTTATTTTAAGGCCGTCTTTCTAGCGGTGTCGATAGATGATGAATGTTCGCTTATTGCTCCTTAAAAAAAGTTGAAAAAAATTGAGAGGGCCTATTGAACGACAGTAAAAAAAGAGTTTTCCTACGCACCTTGATAACAGTGGCAGCATCAGGTATAAACCGGACTTCATCTATGTACACATCAAATGGCTCACGATTGGTCGTTGCTTCTATGGCAGGTGAGTTCTCAATTCTCTCTACCCACAACTCTTCAGGATCAGTCTGCATTGGGGTGCTAAGAGCAGCAGTCCTTCTACTGGCGGGCCTTGACACTACTGAATGATGAGAGTCTGGTACAGAGGGTGCCGGACTTGGTATAACTCCTTCATGTTCTGATAACGAGGGAAGCTGTGTAGGACTGAAAGGAAATAAAAAACAAGAATCCCAATCTAGCATACTTTGAATATCATTATGACAGGATAAGGTAACTCTTTCTTTGCTAATACAACAATATATATATTTTTAGAGTGTTCGGAAGGGTTTTTGGCTTTGACATCTTTACTATGCACAGATAGTCAGTCAGGTTTTCGACTTTCCTCATTCCTGAACGTTTTCATCCAGAAAATTGTTCAGAGTTCCTCCTTCAGCTACGCCCTAAAAGACTGACAGGTGCTCAAGGACTGGGTCTTATACTGTCACTTAAAGAACTGAGATAAAAAAAGCAGAAAATATTTCATTGATCCAAAGACTGCTGTGACAATATTTAACTTTCTTTAAAGTATCTGCAACGACAAATTTTCAACATTTTATTTTGCCCTCAAATTCTTTCTACAGTAAGTTCAGATGATGTAATATGCATATCTGGTTTTCTCTTTTGAATATACCTTCGCATTTAAGAGAAAATCTTTTCAAAAGTTGACCGATTTAACGGAAGTAAAAGAAAAATTTTCATTTCCGTTACAAAACAAAGCAATATAGTTACATCCATACTCACGGTCTCAAGGACCCAACATCCAAAAGAGCACCTCCATTACTCAGATATGACAGACCCTGTTGAATATCCACAGTAAACAGCTCGCTTGGTTTATCCAACAACACTCGTCGGATACCTGAATAGCCCTCAGCATGTAGTATATCACCTCTTAAGAGTTGTAGTAATACAAGACAAGTGTGCTCCATCACAGAGGGCTGCCAGTTAGACATGAAGCACTGATCCCACACCAGCATGACAGCATGGACTCCTAGAGTTCCTACAAATCCCTGTAGGGAAATAATTAGAGAATGGAGAAACAACAAAATTATACCCATAAGGTACATTGTAATTAAACCAAGTCATTCCTTTTCAACTTTACACAACAGATTCACATTACTTTTCCTTTTGAGATGGTCCAGAGCCCTTGCCTGCAAAAACTCCCACCATTATAGTGTACATATGTACTACAATACCAGAATAACTTACAAGCATTTTGTAATCAAGTACGACAGGCATCTACAGTGTAAGATGTGGGAGCCTAGAGCAAAGAAGTGATACATACTCCACAAACAACACCTAAGATACCTTATACAAGTAGAATTTATTTATGAGGTAATCAAGTACAAAAAGTTGTCCTTTGCCAGAAAACACTAGCTTCATGGTCACATTTAAATTAGCCTGAGAAAACAACCGACATTTGGTGACATGACCAACAGTTTTCTGCGAAATGACACCAGGGGAACAAGTGCAGAAATTCCATACTTATGATGTGCCACCACACTGAACTGCAAAGTGCTTTTGATTGGTTGAAGCAAATTTTTGCTAGTGGCATGACTAATCACAAGCACTAACCAGACCTGGGTAGTGAAAGTTCATTAGTATGGAATGTCAGTGCTCGTTCCTCAGACATAATTTCATGAGGAAACTGTTGGTCGTGTTGCAGAATGTCGGCTGTTTTTTGTCAGCTTAAAATTTAAACACAATGAGTATGCCATGCTTGAATGATTGTATTCAGGTGCAGCTTTGGCTTGCATTATACAAAATGTTACCAACCTCCCCTATCCACTTTCTTATAAACATGACTGGATGGAACAGAAGCTCCTTTGCATCGGAAGGAAGTGATTTAAAAGAACTTCCTGAAGCTTGCCTCTCTGCCAACATTGCTTGTTCCTTCTCAGTGTGAATAAAATTTACCAGGAATTCTTGGGGATTAGGCGAAATATTCTGTCTGGACTCACTTATAAGGTGATTAAATAGCTGTTCATCTTCATGATGCAGTCTCTGCATGACATGGTCAGCCATGCTGAAAATTTGCAACCTAGTAGGGAAACAGTTTTTGAGCAGCAGTTGAAGGGAAATTGCTAGCTTGTAGGACATATCAGTTCTATCCACTGGAAACCACAAATTGAATTCCAGATCTTCATTTTGGAAAGCAAAAACCAGTGGATAGACCAACAAGGCATACTGTGGTTCATAACTTCTGTTATAAATGTACAGTACATTCAGTGCTTCTTCAGCTTGTTTAATGTGTGTCTCTGAAACCACTTCACTTTGAAGACCAGGCCTGTACTTGTATGCTTCTGTAACAGCATGTCTGATTACACCAGCTATTGGAGAATGCATGACATTTGACACACCAAGTTCCTTTAAACCCCAGGAGAGGGTCACTTTAAACTGTGTGGTAATTTCTTCCATCTGTGCTTCCAGGTCCTCACTGGACTGTGTTCCACTTATTGGTAAACCTTTCCTCTGTAGCTGCATGGACCAGATTAAAGGTCTCAGAGAGTTAGGCAGCTGCCGTCCATGCAGCTGCTCACATACTCGGCTCAGTTGGGAAGGGTGATTCTTCAGGAGGGCAGACACTGATTTGCCAAGAGTCTTACTCTGATGACTGTTACAAAGAAGACCAGCACGTCTCCTACTGGTTGAAAGCTGCAATCAGAAGAACATCTCATGGATTACAAAAATTATGAAATTGTACATGACTAATACACTGTAGCAAATGGGATAAGGTCCTTTTAAATAGCAGAAAACCATAGTGCACAGTTTGGGTATATAGTCTCTTCTAGTGTTGAAATGGTGGTTTTTCCATCTTGAGAAATGGAAACGCCACAAGGCATTCTGTACAATGTACCTCATTAAATTAAAACAGGCAAAATATTTTTTGTTTCCCAGTCTTGCACTTTCTAAACTGTAACACTCCAATTTCTTTATAGTTTGCTACCAAAAAAATAAATTATTTTCCTTGGTCACCATTCTGTCCTCTACAAGAAAATAAAAATAATTATCAACTCAAAGTTTTTGGTATACTCTTTGTTGAGCTTGTCCACCCTTTTTGGTTTATGGCATGGTAATCAGTTAGTAACCCTGCTCCACTGAGCCAATCAAAATGCAGGAAACCATAGATAAGCCTTAATAACCATAATTAAGGAAAATCAATGTTTGCTGGTGGAAGTTAAGGCAAAAAAGCAGGTAGCTAATGTTTCCTTTGTAAAGGAGTTCCAGTTTTCAATAATGATATTGCATGTTCACAAAAATCTGCAATTCTTACATGTGCTTGCCCTTGGGAGTGTCTCTTTTCAGCCGTCGCTAGTTCCCTCTCCATGCCACAGTACACTGCGTGCTGTGCAAATCCCACAAACTCCAACATGTCCCGAGATGCTTCATCCTCTCTCCACTGCAAACCAAGCCTGCTTACACTTTCTTCAATGGCTGTTTTAAGCCACTTCTGAGCTTCTTCTTTTCTGGTTTCAGATGGTGATGAGGTAGAGGGATATACACTGCCCTGCAGGGGGTAAATAATGAATTTTGTGGCAAAATATGGCTTTTCTTTTCCCTTTACATGTATTTACAAACATGCATTGCATGCTCCCAAAAGCATTTAACAGGGACAAAGTTGTACCTACAGTATGAGAGAAAAACATATAATAATTCACCTGTTTGTAGTAAGAAAGATATTTCTCAACAAATTGTTGTCCCAGTAGATCCAATAAAGGCTGGATTGCTTCACTTGGAGAATTCTTGCAGTAGCTTTTCACTTTGGTTGCGAGACTGTTGTTAATAGCTTCTCTAATCTGCAAGTCCATTCAAAAATGGTGATCTAAGAGTGTTGTACAAGTAGGTTGTAAATTTCAGGTCAAAATGTACATGTGTTCTGTCTGTTGTAAATAACAAAGGAAAATAGAAATCAAACTTATTTCAAGCTTTCAGTTATTTTGACCTGACGAAATTCAATGTAAACTGCAATGTAATACATATCCTTCATATAACCTCTTATTTTCAACACACCACAAGACAAAAGTCAAAAACATAAAATTTGCTGGGGTCAGCCACGACCAGGTACAATTAAACTTGGATATGGTGCTTTGAAATTCAACTCCAGAAGAGTTCGGTTGCATTTGGCACGGTGAGAAATTTGGAATAATCATGATGGAGATAGATCAAACGCAGATTCACTTTGAAGTGATGTTTTCACTGCTGTCACCACCATGATATCTTAAACTCCCTATAAACAATACAAACTGTGCACACACTAGATACCTTATTTTGTCAATAGAGATAACTTAAGTATGCAGTCTTCATGTGTAAACTAAGGAGCTTAAGCAACAACAACGGCGACGGCTACAAAAATGTCACTCTAAAAGTGAAGTTGCGCTGCTTCAAATTTTATTGCGCCTATTCAATCTTGTTCAGTTCATCAAGTGTTGACAATTTTTTGTGGAGTTGAATTCTAAAAGACTGTGTTGAAGTTCAGGAAAAGAAAAAGAAAGTTGTGGTCTTGCATTCACGTCCTCCACAAAACGTGATTATAGGCATTTTCACGTCATAGTCGTGCAGTGACGGAAAAAAAAATGTACAAAAAGGCATGATGCACATTCAAAGTTATTGTTTTCCCAATCTAAACCATTATTGCTTTTTTGCTGTTCTCATTGACGTCGCCATTGTCATTGCTTAAACTCCCTACTGTCAAACAGACTACTCAACTACTCAATATCTCTTATACTGCTCAAGTAATCACATCATCAGTTTAAAAGGTCACTAGATAATGTTTCTGCATAATTTCTGCGACCGACAAGATTTTCTAATCAGTCCCAAATGAACATGATTCAGTCAAGGGGGCCAGAGAGAAAATGAAAAAAGTCAATGGAAAGTTGACCAAAAAATAGTTTTACACCCATCCATATTTCCTTCAAAATAATTTTATGATTCCGGAGTTATGTGGAATCTTTTTTCCACTGAAATGAAGCCTACATGTAGTAAATACATGTATTAATGTAATAGTCAGCAAAAGACTAAAAATGATGAGCTGGCAGTGTCACTTCTAATTACCCCCCAAAATATTTCAAAACTTTCCTTCCATGCATGCCTGAAATTTGGTTTAGCATTAGGAACAAGAACCCAGCATACTATTTAAGTTGGAAACCCAATTTTGGGTTGGTCCTTTTTGGCCAGGTAATGACCAAAAAATGGCTGGAAAACAGTGTCTGCGCCAAAATTTCCAGGACTGAATGGATTGATGGGAAAGGAGAGCTTAAAGTCACTTCCCAGGAGTCATCAAAGCAGGCTGAAAATGATCATTGACAGGAGTATAATCTTGAATGAAATGATTATGTCTGTTGGTGACAGTTCCTGCCACCAACAGTCTTATTCAGGACTGCACCTACATGTACAGTTGTACAGTGTATACCTGGAGGATCAGTCTTCAACTACAAACTTTACTAGTCTTATATAAGACAATCATGACACAAACAATAAACAAAACTCTCTTTCATGACAAACTTTACATGACTACATGATTGTTAATGTACCTTGTGCCATGGTGAGCCTGGTAAAAGTGTTTCATGAAGGCAGGAATCCATCCACTCCAACTTGTATGCACTTTGTTCATTTTTACTCATTGTCAGCAGTTAAATTTATTTACAGAAATAACACTTCAATAATAACCATGCAAACTGGACTAACAAAGAAGTTTTGAAAGTTTATAAAAAAAAGAGGCCAAACCTTTAATAAATTATTAAAATTTAACAACTATTTGAAATAATTTAAATAACATCAAATCACTTTTTACAAAATAAACACTTACTGTTATATCTGGCAAGGCTTAATTAAAATTTGAAATTAAAGTATACTTACTGTTTACTAGAAAAACATTATTGTACATGTACTATGCGGCATGAATATTTATGTACTAAAACGTTATGTTCATTGCAAGAGGAAAGAGCTCTGCACTTAATGAAAAAGAAAAGAATTATTTAATGCTTAAAGTATAAATAGAGAACAATGCATTCATAAAACTAGAATGGCAAGGTACAACAATATTATTCTCTGATTAACTGATAAACTTTTAAATCAATTTAAGCAAGTCAGTCCAAAATATCCTAATAAGATAGAAATCTTTCTACCCAATGTTTAATCAAGTTTAAAAAATGAATGTTAATAACTTGCTGATTATCATAATTTGATAACCTATTTTGATGCAAATGAATGGTTCTGTTTTAAAAAATGGTTTAAAAGTATTTACAACTTTTAAGTATCTTAGTATTGACTTTCAACTCCTTGCATCATACTTTGAAAAAATAAAATTGTTAGAAATGATTTTTTTTTGCAATTTATAATAATAATTAATTTTGGATTTCGGAGCTAAGCAGCAGCAAAGTCTGGTCCACTTAAGCCAAAGCAATGTTTGAATCTTCTATCTTTGTATGAATTCTCATGCCAAACACTCTGTGGAAATATAAAAGAATGAGTATAAGTGTTTGTAATAATGATACAATAATGCGATTTTGCGCAGACCATTGATTACATGTAACTTACTGTAAACAATAATTATTGAAGTTTTTTATTGTAATAGCGCTGATTGCTTCGCCTGCATTTTTCTTAAGGAGCCTTTTTGTGTTTATCATGTCACATGTGTCAGCAAAATATATTATACACAATGTATAGAGGCTTAAGATGTGACTACATGTAGATGCAGTGTAAATAATCATGTAATTTATAGATGTAAATTAGTTTGGTTACCTTGGATGACGTTCGACATTTGACAAGGCACAGCTCAAATTGATCTTTGACTGACTTTGATATTATATTGGGCACTGAAGAGCCAAGCTTTAAAATCTGTTCCAGTAAGTTTTTCTGTAGAAAAATAGAGATGAAAGGTCAAGTAATATATCATTTCCTTGTGAAAAATAAATTGCATGTAAAACTGTTATGCTTGTCTTTGGGTCCGTTCCTTTGAGATGTTCCCCATCAGTATCAGTGTTCTGAGATAACTTGGATCATGGTAGATCAAATGAACTGATGAATCCTTGTCCAGAGTGGATTCATCGGTTCATTTGATCTACCATGATCCGAGTGATCTCAGATCACTGATCCTGATCTGGATCATCCCAAAGGAATGCACCCTTTATTTGCATGTATGTATTCAGTGAATTATTTTTTTGAACTTACGTTAGCAGGGCTCAAACAGCAAGATACACAGTGTTCATAGATACTACAGCAGTTGTTACTCTGGCAGTCTGTGCACTCATAGCGACGAGTACTCTCCCCCCCACTGTGACAGCATCCACTGGCAGACAGATCCTTCCGATTACAAACAAATCCTAAAATGTTGTAGAAATAATAGCAATAAATGAACAACTTTTTAAAACCAAAACCACTGTCCAAAAATACATTTATGGTGTAAAGTGTACCATGCATACTGGATGTCTGCCTCATCTATTGCCTACATGTACATGTACATAAAGAAAGCATAAGTAACAGTAATTTTACTGCTCCAAAACCATTGTAAAACATACAAATATATACTGAATTTCATGCTGGTAATTAAACTGTTTATTTTGTTTACAAGTGCATTTTACAGTGGAACAAACTTAACCAGGAATACTAACACTAACTGGGTGAATCCAGTTGAGTTTGCTGCACTTTCAATAAACAATTTGTCGGGTATATAGTTGTCAAAGGAAACATGTTTTAATAATTATTGCTTGTAACAGATGAATATTTCAGGCTAGCAACATTATGCTGAAACTACATGTAATAAACAGCAATCTTGTAATACTCTGTCTTGTGGAATGAATCATCATAATAGAAACAAAAGGATCTTTTTATTCCTGTATGTACTCTGTTTAGTTTTAAATAGAGCTTATTCACAGTACCCACCATCTTTGCATGTGCTTTAGGATTGATGGTATAAAAGTGATATCACATGATATTTCAGGGGCAAACAAGTCCTAACATTTGCCAGTGCAAGTAATTGCGGTCGGTATATCGTGAATAACATCTATTGGGATTCTAGCATGTTCTGTTGTATTGCAACCAATATGTGTATTTTTACAACTCTTTGTACCTCTTTCATCAACAATCAGCAAGGCACCTTGAATGGAGTTTCTACAGGCTCTGAATTCTGTCAAGTTCTCAATATCAATCCACTGAAACTCAACTATGGGATGCACTTCCAAGATGTCTGATTCTTGATAAGACTATTAACATGCCAAATTAATAAAACATCAATTTATTAAAAGAAAGTGGTAGGGGTTATAAGTTTTATTATTCATTCAAATGTCTTTGTTTCTGATTGGCTCAAATCTCCATTATCTCCAATTCTTCATAACCTGCAAGTGTGACTGAGACTATTGTCACAGAAGCGATGGTCAAACCTAGATAACCAGGTTAGTGAAAACTCAGTTTAACTAAGAAAACTGACCTGTAACAATTTCCATCTTTGGCAAATTACCCCACAGCTTGAACACTTAACCCGGGCTTCTGATCTTTAACGGGAGAAACACAATAAAGGACGGGAGTCCGGAGACAAAGGGACAAAATGGTACAGGAGGCGGGAGAATGGGGTCCCTGTCCCCCCCCCCTCCCCAACCTAGATATGCCTACCTTATGCAGTTGAACCTCTCCCAATGGTCACCTCTCTACAACAGCAAAAACCTTTTATCCCGGCAGAAAAAAAATCCATACATTGACTCTTATTTGAAACCACTCTACAACTGCCATTTCTTTACGGCCACTTTCTTCCGTCCCCAAAGTAGCCGTTGTAGAGAGGTTCGACAGAAATAATATCTAAGAGTTTTCATTTACTACGTATCATTGAACCTTTTTAATGGCCATAAGCTTGCGTGAGTTTATATTAATGTACATCTTATCGAGGCCACCATTTTTTAAAGGTGCTGAACCTGAATCAAAATTTGAAAAACCACGTTCTTGCAAAACTTAACACGATCAGTGCAATAACCTGAGATCAGGCTCTATTTTCGTTTCGCTTTGTAAATACATGTAACAGTCCGGCGGGCATGGCGAAACGAAAAGAATTTCAGCGGTAGCCGTTAGAGAGAATGTATGAGAACCGCTCAAATTGGGCCTGATCTCAGGTTATCAGTGCAATTTTTGCAACAACTTTTAAAAAATATTAAAAAAAATTATCATCATTGCTTCGTTTGTCTGGATGGCGCTGAAATTAACATCAATACACTTTTTATCAAGACGCTTACCTTTTTAAGGGTAAAGGCCACTATGAAAAGGATTCCAATGGCTATGAAAAAAGCCACAAGCCAACGACGAACAAAAACAACACTCATTGATGTCAAACCAACATGGCTTCCTTTCTTCTTTGACAGGGAACTGGGAATGAATTCGCCTCGGTCTATTGTACTTCATATAAACTACAGTTTTCTGCCCCATTTACCGAACTCCAAGGGGAGCCCTGTAGCTCTCTGCAGGAGGGGGCCATAGGATAACCTGAGATCAGGCTCTATTTTCTTTTCGCTTTCTAAATAACATTACGGCGGTAGCCTTTAGAGAGAATCTATGAGAACCGCTCAAATTCTGACCTGATCTCAGGTTAGCCATAGGACCGCAACACAACTACAGTTCCTTCAGTTTCTGTCAACATTCATATCACATTTGAACCTCTCACGACTGGGTAGGTAGGCTATTTTTCAAATTAATGCTGGCTCGTAGTGTTAACAGTCCAAAACACATAATTTTATTTAGCGTGCTGCTAAAGCACAATTTACAGGGAGCCCATATTCAACGCTTGGGCTACCGGTGGTATTTTAATGTGCCGTTTGCAAGCCGCTCAGGATTTCAAACCCTGACCGACACCCTGACCCTGTTTAGCAACCTCGTCCCCAGGGCGCTTTTCTCCCTGGCTTTGGAGGTGGGCTGTTTGGGACAAAGGACAGAATACATGTCGTCTTGTTTTAAAGTCGTTTATTGGCAGTAAATGCAAACTCACATATAGTCATTACTTTGTATACTTGGAGTACAAAAAATATTCTTCTAGCAAATCAAATCAATCGTGCAGGCAATACCCTGTTGACAGACTCATGATCACACCAAATTATATTCCCTGTTTAGGAGAGACTCACACGAAATTGTATGCCATGTTTAAGACAGAGAGGTCACTGAAAAGCCACACCCTGTTCATCAGCATATCCCCGTATAGGCCATATAAGGGAGTACCCCCCCGGGCATACAGGGTGTAGAATACAAAGAAGCAGAAGCGTTAGAGTGCGTTTAGACTGATTGCAGTCTCTGTCTTACTCGAAAATCTGTGAGCGAGTGCG